TCACTGGAAAACTCACTTGGAAGTTTGATTACGCACATTTTTCTCTTGAAATCAAAGATTATACGAGGAGCTCTCCTAAAATGCGACCAGCTCACATGGAGGTTGGGCCCCGCCCCCTTTGTTTGTTAACTTATCTATCATTTAGCTTAAAGTTTGAAATTCACTTCTCGATTCACTACACATGAACAAACTCCTTAGTGATTCTGACTTCCCTTTTTTATTTTTTTTATTTTGCTTTTAGGAAAGTCTGTTATTTGATGCATGTTTTCATAGACAAGATGCTGAGAAGTACAACATTGAACTATTTATGATATACTGTATCTTTTATGTTTTCTTTTTCCCTGGTGTCGAAGCAACAGGGATTCTCTAATTGACACTTGGAATCCAAATTCAGAAAAGAGACAATTTCCATTTCTTTGCTATCACACTACTCACCAGCAGCTTGCTAAATTACTTACTGGCACTTAACATAAATCAGAATTCATCATGTCAACAAGCTAGCTACTTGTCCCCAATTTCCCATGCAGTTACATCTTCATCAAACTGTTTTATAATCCTTTTTAACTGTGTACAAATAAAAAAAGACTGACTTGATTTCCTGAATTTGCAGTGCATATTGTATTCTTCCACGTGTGCCTCTTTAGCTTTGGAAGGTTCCATGCAGAGTAAGATATTAGTAGGAAATTAATGAAAGTGCCTTCAGCAAATCCTGGGTTTACGTTTTAGTTAAACTCATGATAATTCTGACTGTTAAAATGGAGAATAAAAAAAGTCTGTACTCTGCAAAATAAATAAAATTTTAAAAATCTGCATAAATATGATTAGTAAGGCAAAATAAACTTTTCCTATAAGAGCATGTATAACTGTTATAAAAGCCAAGAAATCTATTAAAAGATTACTCCAAGCATGATAACCAGCTCTGGCCGCTGCAATTTTTGTAATGCCAGGACTATGCTAGCTCTTTTACTTGAGTCACACTGGGCGCCGAGGCTTATATCCTGTTAGCTAAACAACATCCGTCTTCTGCAAAGCTACAGAAGCCACATGCCAATCCCGGGGGCCAATCATTGGCTGAGAGCATTAGCTGATTGGTTTCAACCAATGAATGCCCCTCTGTGCATAGATATTTACACAGAACTGTTCTGGGCTAATGGAGTTAAGTTTTCAGCATCAAAGTAGTTAAACTCATACCGAAACACTACACGTACAAACTCCAGGCACTTTGACCAGTTCAAATCACTGAAGTGGTCATTGTGCTGATTGTAATTCTTCAAATGACATACAAGTGAGGGGGAATACGAGGTCTGTCTGTAAAAAGTCCAGCCATTGTTAATATAACGAGAATGGTTTTCATGATAGCGATGTAACCTGGCAGCCAAAGAGAGTGGACTGGAAGGCGCATATGTGAATAATGATGACGTCACTGTACTAGTCCGTGGGGGCACTAGACGCTGTTGAGTGAGCATGTGTACTGTGTGTCGGTCACATTCATAATGACAACTAATCTGCAACAAATTTAGCATTAAGCTTAAACATTTCTCTGCGGAAACTAGTCAGCTGATTCAGAAGGCTTTCAGGGCCGATGCAATGAGTGCAGCACAAATAAAAGTGTGTCACAAAAGCTTCAAAGATAGTCGAGAAACTGTTGAAAGATTTAGCACCATGCGACTTTTGGCTATTCCCAAAACTAAAATCACCTTTGAAAGGGAAGATATTTCAGACTGTCAATGACGGTCCATCAGCTGCCTCGTCTTATGTATCTGAATAAATAAATAAGATGAGGCAGCTGATGGAGATTCCAACAAAGGATTTTGCAAACAGTTGAAAAGATGCTGAGAAAATTATGTTAGGTCCCAAGGTGCAAACTTTGAAGGGGACTGAGGCGTCATTGTCCTTTGTACAATGCATCTTGTATCTTCTTCAATAATTGTCTCTATTTTTATATTACATGGCTGGATACTTTTTGGACAGACCTCATATGCTAGGCTTTACCTCTGGTAAATGAAGGTTAACTTTAAATTACATTGTCGCTTCTTGCAGGTGCACTTGCATAAGGCAACATTATATTACCTCGGGCTACTGAGGATAAATGGGAGCGATTTGAAAATCATTTGGGGCAATAGCATTGTTTTGTGTGTTTTTTTTTTCTCTCTGCTATGGATATCTTAAATGCATAAAGTATGTGTGTAATTAGATATTTATGTTTTTTCTCCATTATCGGGAAGTCTAAATTACATAAGAAAAGAGAAGGTGTGAGTATTATATTATCATGAATTAAATATGATATCAGCATGTTGGAATTTGATAAATAAACTTTCTTTTTCTTTTTCTAGCATCAGAGGTCAACAAACTATAAGTAAACTGGTGATAATAAAAGAAAAAGCTGTGTGATTTGTGTGACCGTA